CACAACACGAATGGTGGTTGGTTTGATAACGAGACTACAGGTATCCTTGTAGTCAATCCCGGGGCGTTGGTGGAAGCCTTTGGCAACGAGACCCACTTTGTAGCGCTCAATATGGCCGTCAGGTCGGCGTTTAATCCGGAAGTTCCACCTGCAGCCAACGACATTACTAAAATTTGTGTTAGGGGTGAGTTCCCATGTTCCATTGCGCAGCAGTGCATTAAACTCCTCGAACCTGGCATGTCGCCATTTGGCATCTCGCAAGGCTTGAGTAACACATTTTGATTCGATGATGTCAGGTAGAAGATCTTTAGTGGTGTGATGAATTTGTTTGGGTTTGAAAATGTTATTCCTAGATCGTGTAATCATTGGATGGCTGCAGGTTGCGGTTGGTGGAGGTGATGGTAAGGCCGGTTGTGGTGGTGGATCAGAGGATGAGAGAGGTGGGTCTGATGGGGTGGGGTTTATGGTAGACAGTGGTGTGTTATTTTGATTTGATTTGGTATGGGTTTTAGGTATGGGGTCAGTTGTGGGTGGGTTGAATGGTGGCTGAGGTTGTGATTCGAGTTGAGGATGGTTGTTGGTGGCATCGGTGCTGTGAACTAGAGAAGCAGCTATTGCGTGAGGAGCAGGTAACGGGTCGGCAGCGGGTCGGCAGCAGTTGTAGGAACTTGCGATTGGATCGGCGTTAGGACAGGAGGCGAGGCTGGACTCGGTTGTTGGGCAATGATTGGGAGTTGGATCCATGTGGGATTCGTAGGTGGTAATGGGTTTGGACGTGAGGAGTTTGTTGTGACATGGAAAAATGTGTTCGTGAAACACAACGTGACGTGAAGTGTAAACGCGTTTGGTTTGAGGTTCGAAACATTTGTATGCGCTTTGAGAGAGCGAGTAGCCAAGGAATATACACGGACGGGAACAGTTATCAAGCTTGTTTTGGGCATATGGGCGGAGCCACGGATAGCATAAGCATCCGAAAATTCGAAGTTTGAGATAGTTTGGCTTTTGATTGAAGAGTTTTTAATATGGAGATTGATACTGAAAGATTGGGGTGGATAGTCGATTGATGAGATATGTAGCGGTTTGAAAGGCATAGGACCAAAACGAGATTGGAAGAGATGCATTGTGAAGTAAAGTTAAGCCCGTTTCTACAACATGGCAATGTTGCCGTTTGGTGGTGCCGTTGTGTTGCGGGGTGTGAGGAGGAGTGGTGAAGTGAGAAATACCTTTTGTGGTGAAAAAGTCTTGAGTTTTAGATACTCACCTCCGCCATCGGAATAGACAGAGATAATAGGATGTTGAAATTGTTTTTTGACAATTGGTTTAAAAGCACTAAAAGTGGCATAAACGTCGGATTTTTTTTTTGCATAGGATAAAGCCATATGTATTTTGTAAAATGGTCGACAAATGAAATGTACTATTTGAAACCATCAACCGAGGTGTCATGAGCAGGACCCCAAACGTCGGTGTATAGGAGTTCTAGTGGATTTTAACTCGAGAGAGTAGAAACATTAAATGGCAAACGATGATTTTTATTGCATTGGCACAAATTACAATATGATTTGGAAATGGATTTGGACGTAGGACTTATGGGTAATGAAAATGTCCTAACTACATAATTTTGAATGGAGAGAGAAGGATGTCCCAAATGTCGATGCTAGTAGCAATGAGCCGCTTTCTCTCCTATGAACACCACGGGTTGGTCTTTGTGTGGCCCTAAGGAGAGTGGCATCCAATAAACTCCGTGCTTATGCTCGCTGCGCAACAACGTGGCTCCCGTTCGAAGATCCTTCACCAAAAAGAACGTGGCAAAAAATTCAATAGAGGTATTATTTTGGGCACAAAATTTAGAATCGGAAATTAAATTTTGAGTAAGGGACGATGCGCAAAGTGTGTTAAATAAAACAAAGGTGTTTTCGGGAGACACAAGTTTTGTCATCCCAACATATGAAATACTCAAACCTATTCTATCGCCAATCATAATGTCATTTGCTCCTTCATACTCCGAGTGGAGAGATAGGTTTGCTAAGTCATTGGTGACGTGGTGGGATGCTCCTGAATCAACAAGCCATTGCGGGGCTGAGCGTGTGGCAATTGTGTGGTGCATAACAGGTTCGGTATTTGGATAGCCTCGGATACGATAGCAAGTCTTGGCCGTGTGGCCATATTTATCGCAAAATTGACACAGAGGCCGAGAGTCATGAGACTGAGATGGGCTGCCCCGCCGGGTGAGGTTTCTACGGGTCTATTGGCTACCAGAGTTGTTGCGGGCACCATGAGAAGCACCGCGTCCGTTTTGGGCACCGTTCCAGCGAGCAGCGGATGAACTAGAGCGTGATTTGGCAGTATACTGAGCTGTGACAGGAATGAATTCTGCAGCTTTTTCTTCATGCTTAAGGTAAGTTTCATAAGCGACAAGTTTGTTGTGTAATTCCTCAAATGAAATAGGATTTTCTCTAGCGTGAATTGCAGCCGCTAATTCTTTAAATTCAGGACCAATTCCATGTAAGGCATGAATAACAATATCATCATCTTAAAGGGGTGTATCAATAATGGAGAGTTCATCGGTAATACCCTTTAATTCTTGAAGATATTCGGAAATTGACCTCGATTGACGCTGGATTGTGGACAACTAGTCCTTGAGAAACATTACTCGAGAACGGGATTTGTTGACATAAAGATTGGTGAGCTTTTTTAGTGCCACTTGAGAGGTTTTGCTGAATGCAATCAGCGGCAAAATAAATTCAGAAACTGAGCTAAAAATGGCGGATAATAACAGCTGGTCTTGGCAGATCCACAATGTGCGTGCTGGACTAGCTGATCCGAACGAATTAAGTGACGAACAAGGGCGTGTGCCGTCAACAAATCGGAGCAGATCATGCCTAATTAAAATGGCTTGAAGTTATGCTCGCCAAGAGGGAAAGTTGCCGGCTGTGAGCTTCATGGGAAGCTGAACAGTGTTGTCGATGGTGATGAGACCGGTTGCGGAAGAGTTGGTGTTGTCACTAATTGAACTTGACATGGTGGTATCGAAAGCTCGGTTGAGCGAAAAAGCTCTGATACCATATAATGTTTAAGAAAATCGAAAGAATTCTGAGAAAAAGATTTTATGCAACTGATACATTTTCCATGCGCTGAGTACATGTATTTATACAAGAGATTACAAGCTGTTAGAATCAATCAAATTGAATTTACAAAATCAATCAAATTGAATTTACAATCCATTGATCTTAGCACTTGCTTGTTATGTGAGATTCTTCCTTGACTTTAGTACTTGTGTGATTTGATTTGATCTTAATTCCTTGATTTGTGCAATTATCCTTAACATTAGTATGATCTCTGAAGAGCCGCAAACTTGAAGAAAAAAAAATGTGGGCTTGTTTCACTTTGCGTCTTGGCAGTGACTTTCATGCTATTACGCTCACTAGGTGAACAAGAGGAGTGATCCCCAATGCAATGGAGTCTTGTCCAAGTTCAATGGCTTTGCCTATCATTCAAGAGACACTGGAGCCCATCACTCGCAGTTACTCTCTTGGCCTTCATCAAGAGAGTAACTACGAATGATGAGCTGAAGAGTCTCTCCAATCAGAGACAAACCCATTGAACCTGGAGGCAAGACTCCATTGCATTTAGGATTCCTCCACTTGTTCACCTGGTGAACGTAATAGCACAAAGTCACCAACTTGTTCACCGGCAAGAGAGTTCGGTGGTAAGGTTTTTTCACAATTTTTTTTCTCTTGTGGATTATAGGGGAGACGATTTGTCTTCTCCCACTTCTCTCTTGCACTTTCAGATATGGACCGATATTCTGAACCAGTTTTGCAGGTTGACCTACTATTATTCCGGTTGAGCCTGAATTTAACAATCACATTATTGGGTAAGAAGGAAGGTTAGTTGAATTGTGGTACTCGAATTCCTTTGCCAAGCTATTCGCACCGGAGGGTGAAGCCAGGTTGAACAAAGCCGGTCTTGTCCATGAGTACGTGAGAAGAATCTTTCCGAATCACTTTGGCTTCGAGATCCTTAGAGCAGAGTAGCTTTCGCAAATAGAGGAAGTGGTTCAGAGATGCCTGAGAAAGTGGTCGAACCAATCGTGCATCGAAGTGAAAAAAGCCGCTTCTGCTGTAAAGCTAAAATTCTAGTTTGTCCATTTTTTATTCGTCTTTTTTAGAGTTTACACCATCGAAATTTTCTCTTTGAGCTCACAAGTTCGATATGTTTATGTAATCATATTTATGGTCGATTTCACTGCCAAGCCACTTTTTAGTTACGATTCTGACGAGACTTTTAGCAGACAATACCCACGAGAGGTTCAACAGGTTCTTAAAAAGCTTCGTGGCCTTTCCTTTGAATGTCTCGGGTACTGCAAACCGTTGGTGCCTAAAGGTACCTGAAAAGCTCTTATGTTTTCTTAGAGTTTGTTCATCAAAAGAAAATCTCAAGTTGCCATTTCATTTTCTCTTGAAAACTAACTTTGGTTCCAAAAGATGGTACAGCTGTGCTTTTTTCTTCAGCTATAATGGAATGACCTTCAGTGAATTGGAAAACATGGACCAATTGGAGTGGAAAATTAGTTTTAGGCAAACCTCGGAAAGAGAAAAACGCTCGAGCCATCTACATGGATATATTATTTTTTGACCCGTCTCGCTCATCCTTTCCCTCCAAGAACACGGCAAGTTGATAAATATGTTTAAAGATATCTCGAGTGAGAGGCTCAACTCCAACAAAACTTGCCATGCGGATTTTCTCAATCAGGCAATCGGTGACATGGACAATGAAGAGTTCTTGACGAAGAATTTCATGGTTAACGTGATGTTTGTGGGCATATTTGCAAGTACTGAGTCTATTTCGACAATGCTGGCTTTGATCTTCAAGTTTCTATTCGAGACCCCCCGCGGTTCTAAAGGAATTAACGGTAACAAAATTTACATGATATCTAAAAATATTGTTTTGCACCATATTGTCAAACCTTATTCAACAATGGAAACATCTATATTGCATGCCGAGCACACAGCGATCCTCGAAAGGAGGGAGGGGCAAAGTACTGCGCTTTGTTGGGATGAATGCAACTACAAGTCGATGGCTCTCGCGATTTAGGTGACCCAAAATCCCTTCATTGGTGTTTTGTTTCTATGCCTTCTATGCTTCAAAGAAGTATCATGTTCCAATACATAAAAGTGTGCCTTCTATGCTTCAAAGAAGTATCATGTTCCAATAAATAAAAGTATTCTCTAGAAAAAACTTCAAGTAGTAAATGAAACACTCGAGCTGGCAAATACTGCTCTAGGGCAAATGCGAAGAGCAGTACAAGCTATCCCAGTGAACAGTGAGTAATCTCGATTGACGTTCACACCTTTGATACATTAATTAGCAATATCTTCTCAAGAATCATCTACATGCAAGAATTGTGATCCCAAAAGGGTGGCCGATCATGCTAGTCATGACCGCTCTCCACACGAATCATGATGCGTTTGACAATCCTCTTGAATTTAACCCTTGGCGGTGGAAGGTGCACAATTGGAACTCTTCGATACCATTCATTGACTGACTTTTTTCCCGTCTTCTTGGCATAACCTGATGTCCATTATGTCACGGGTCGGTCGATTCACAATGATCCCATACCCGTGCGGCCTTAGGATCACTCCCAAGTCACCCTTTCACGTACACACACTCGATTCACAAGAAGGGAGAGAAAGTAGCGTAGTAATATTTCCTTACAAATGAGCATGTACAAATGAAGGGGGAGAGTCCCCTATATATACAAGTGCGGGTCTAATCTGATCCGTTGATCCCCTCATGATCCAATGGTGGTGTTTGAACCGATACAATCATTACATAGCTACACATGAAGTTCCAGAAGCCCTAGGGGCATGGGGAAGCTCAAGGGACGCTTGCCAAGGAAAGCTGCAGGGTCGTTTATTAGAGGCAACTGAAGGGTTGCGGACGGTGCTCGCACCTAGTCATAGATGGGCCTCGTCCCATGCTTGTAAGTGTTCACGTCCCATGCACGTAAGGGGCCTTGTCTCATTCACTGATGGGCTCGGAGCTGTTCGCTCCCTTGGGTCGTGTCATTCTCTCCCACCTAATCGGGCGACGCCCTTATCGCGTCTTCAGTATAAAATGTATTAATGTGCTTCCGCAAATGCCAAAGAGCTTCAGAGGATTCCTAGCTTGCTTCACTCTCCGGAAGACCTCTCCATCGAACCAAGTATTCTCACCTCGGCGTCCAATACTTCTTCCGTATGATCTGATCAACCATGATGCACTTGACGTCTCGTTCATATGAGGTTTTTGCCCCAAGGGATGCCCGCTGCGATTCCCTTCGGTCCGGGTCTTCCTCATCTATATGGAAAGGCTTAAGCATACTTACATGGAACACCACGTGTAGCTTGAGCTTCGATGGCAAGTCCAGCTTGTATGCGACCTTCCTAACCCGTTTGTGCACTTAAAAGGGCCCCTCGTAGCGACAAATCAGGCCTTTGTGCATATCCCTATATCGAAGGACCGCATATAGCTTGGCCAACACTAGGTCCCCGACCTGGAATTCCACGTGCCGTTGCTTCTTATCGGCCCATTTCTTCATGCGTTTGGAGGCCTTGTGTAGGCACGCCCGCGCCAAGTCTGCTTGCTCATGCCACTCTTTGGCAAACTTGTACGCGAATGGGCTATTTCCCCAATCGCCCAAGGCAACCGTGCTCGGAGTGAGCGGCTGCTGCCCTATCACAATCTCGAACGGGCTCTGGTTTGTGGACTCGTTCTGCTGTAAGTTGTACGAGAATTGAGCTACATCGATCAGTTTCGCCCAATTTCCCTGCATTGTGCTCACATAGTGTCGGAGATATATTTCGAGAAGTGAATTTACCGTTCCGTCTGTCCATCGGTTTGGGGATGCAAACTCGTGGAGAAGTTGAGGTTCGACCCTAGCAACTTAAATAGCTCAGTCCAAAACTGCCCAATGAACCGAGAATCACGATCGCTCATGATCGTCTGTAAGACTCCCCAGTACTTGACGACGTGCTTGACGAATAGTTTGGCCATCTCCTCGGCTGGACAATCCTTTATTGCGGGCACGAACATCGCGTACCTAGAGAATCGGTCCACTACGACCATGAGGGTCCGACATCCTTCGGACTTGGGTAAATTCACGATGAAGTCCATGGAGACACTCTCCTATGGACGTTCCGGGACGGGAAGTGGCTCCAGGAGTCCCGACGGTGAACGTTGTTCGATATTATCCTGTTGGCATACCAGATAAAATTCTCAATCCATTTCCAAATATATCGGTTGTCTCTGGCTAGGTAATGTGGCCGAGATCTGAGAAAAGTTGTCTGATGAGCTTTTTCTCCGTCTATTTATTTACAGGTGGACGGAAATCAAGATCGGTGACATCTACCGCAATCCCATACTAAGATTTCAAGATGGCGTTAATGTAAAGCTTTCGGAGTCTTGGAACCACAAGTCGCTTTAGGTGGCACTGGCTTGACTTGAATAAGACATGTTTGCAACTGCCTTACCAGTTTAATCACGTCCCATACACGAATAGGCCACGTCCCATGCATGTAAGGGGCCACGTCTCGTTCACGGATGGGCTCGGAACCCTTCGCTTCCTTGGGCCGTGTCAATTGCATATTAGGAACTTGATTCAGGCACAATATCAAAGAATTTCTTGTCTTTCTGTGGAGGACTAAGACAACGTGTTGGTGCCGAGCACACTCGAACATTTTTATGAGTGTTTCTTCATGTGTTGATTACAAAGTTTAGGTCAACAAATTATCAATCCTTTTCCAGATATATCGATTGTCTCTGGCTAGGTAATATGGCCAAGATCTAAGAAAAGTTGTCTGATGATCTTCTTCTCCGTCTATTTATTTACAGGTGGACGAAAATTAAGATAGGTGACATCTACCGCAATCCCATGCTAGGATTTATAGATGGCGTTAACGTAAAGCTTTCGGGGTCTTGGAACTAGGAGTCGCTTTAGGTGGCACTGGCTTGACATAAATAAAACATGTTTGCAACTCCCTTACCAGTTTAATCACGTCCCATGCATGAATGGGCCACATCCCATGCAGGAAAGGGGCCACGTCTCATTCATGGATGGGCTCGGAGCCTTTCGCTTTCTTAGGCCGTGTCAGTTGCATATCAGGATCTTGATTCAAGCACAATATCGAAGAACATCGAGCCTTTCGGTGGAGGAGCAAGACAATGTGCGGGTGCCAAATACACTCGAGTGTTTTTATGAGTGTTTTTTCATATGCTGGTTACAAAGGTTAGGTAAACAAATTATCAATCCATTTCCAAATATATCAGTTGTCTCTAGCTAGGTAATGTGGCCGAGATATGAGAAAAGTTATGTGATGATCTTTTTCTCTGTCTATTTATTTATACTTGGATGGAAATCAAGATAGGTGACATCTACCGCAATCCCATACTAGGATTTAAAGATGACGTTAACATAAAACTTTCGGAGTTTTGGAACTAGAAGTCGCTTTAGATGACACTGGCTTGACTTAAATAAGACATGTTTGCAACTCCCTTACTAGTGTAATCACGTCCCATGCATATAAGGGGCCACGTCTCGTTCACGGATGGGCTCAAAACCCTTCACTTTCTTGGGCCATGGCAATTGCATATCAAGATCTTCATTTAGTCACAATATCGAAGAACTTCATTCTTTTCGGTGGAGGAGCCAGACAACGTTCTGGTGCCAAATACACTCGAGTATTTTTACAAGTGTTTCTTTATGTGCTGGTTACATTGTTTAGGTAAACAAATTTTCAATCCATTTCCAAATATATCGATTGTCTCTGGCTAGGTAACGTAGCCGAGATCTGAGAGAAGTTGTATTATGATCTTCTTCTCTATCTATCTATTTACAGGTGAATGTAAATCAAGATAGGTGACATCTACTGTAATCCCGTACTAGGATTTAAAGATGGCGTTAACGTAAAGTTTTTGGAGTCTTGGAACTAGAAGTCGCTTTAGTGGCACTGGCTTGACATGAATAAGACATGTTGCAACTCCCTTACTAGTTTAATCATGTCCCATGCACGAATGGGCAACGTCCCATACATATAAAGGGCCACATCCCATGCACGTAAAGGGCTATGTCTCGTTCACGGATGGGCTTAGAACCCTTCGCTTCCTTGGACCGTGTCAATTGCATATCAAGATCTTGATTCAGGCACAATATCGAAGAACTTCGTGCCTTTCGGTGGAGATGCAAGACAATGTGCTAGTGCCGAATACAGTCGAGTGTTTTTATGAGTGTTTCTTCACATGCTGGTTAGAAAGTTTAGGTAAACAAATTCTCAATCCACTTCCAAACATATCGGTTGTCTCTGGCTAGGTAATGTGATCGAGATCTGAGAAAAGTTGTCTGATGATCTTCTTCTCTGTCCATTTATTTACAGGTGGACGGAAATCAAGATAGGTGACATCTACTGCAATCCCATACTAGGATTTAAAGATGGCGTTAACGTAATGCTTTCGGAGTCTTGGAACTAGAAGTCGCTTTAGGTGGCACTGGCTTGACTTGAATGAGACATGTTTGCAACTCCCTTACTAGTTTAATCACGTCCCATGCACGAATGGGCCATGTTCCATGCACGTAAGGGGCCACGTCTCGTTCACGAATGCGCTCGAACCCCTTCGCTTCCTTGGGCCGTGGCAATTGCATATCAGGATCTTCATTTAGGCATAATATCGAAGAACTTTGTGCATTTCGGTGGATGAGCAAGACAACATGCCAGTGCCGAATACATTCGAGTGTTTTTATGAGTGTTTCTTCATATGCTGGTTACAAAGTTTAGGTAAATAAATTCTCAATCATTTTTCAAATATATCGGTTGTCTCTGGTTAGATAATGTGGCCGAGATCTGTGAAAAGTTGTTTGATGATCTTTTTCTCTATCTAACTATTTACAAGTGGACGGAAATCAAGATAAGTGACAGCTACCGTAATCCCATACTAGGATTTAAAGATGGCATTAATGTAAAGCTTTCGGAGTCTTGGAACTAGAAGTCGCTTTAGGTGACCCTAGCTTGACTTGAATAAGACATGTTTGCAACTCTCTTACTAGTTTAATCACGTCCCAT